TGAACTGAATTAAATTGAATACTCTTTCATATTGTCAAGATAATTTAATTACAATGTCAAGAAGCAATTCTAAGCAAAGAGACAACTCTGTCTGTTAGCAAAATATTTCACAAATGAATGGACGGATTTTAGTCAAACTTTCAGGAGATGATCATTAAATGATCAATGTTGGAAGCCAACCATCACTTTATAGTAGCTGTTTTTTGTTTCTTTTTTTTCTTTTTCTTTTATTTTTTTACATAATTTCTTCTATTTATTTTTTTTTACATGTTTTTTGTCTATTGTTGTCTGTACCTCATCTGTGTTCTTTAAAACAGGTCTCTCTTGTAAATGAGTCCTCGTGTCTCAATGAAACTATCATGTATAAATAAAGGCTGAATGAATAAATGAATTAATTAATTAATTAAAGAAAGAATGAATATGGCTGCCACAGCCGTCCATCTTTATAAAACACAAAAATGGCTATATCTCAATCAGTTTTACAGCTGTTGAGCTAAAATCTGGTGTACTAGTAGCTAAGAGTCATTCACAACAAAAGTATGAATTGTAACATATCACATTGTAACATGACATAGCACACTATAATAATTTCAGGATTTTACCAAAATGGCTACAACTTAATCATTATTTCAACCTTAAATGATCTTTGTCCTTCAATGAGTGCAATACCTTCATATGTTAATTTACTAGAAAAGCAAGAAGTAAGTTTAAGCTTTCCTTTGATTTAACCTTAATAACTGTAGAAGCTGCAGCCACTTTTTGTCGTTTTAAGATTTTAGCACTTCACCAAAATTACCAGCAGATGGTAGTGTTGTGCAACAATAAAGATAATTGTTTCCAGTTTTTTTGTTTGTTTGTTTGTTTGTTTGTTTTATGATAGGGAATACGTGTGGCTTAAAACGTGACCCTCTACCTGTTCACGTGCAGCCTTATGCAAGAAAACAGTCAGACCTTTCCTTTAATTTAGTCATTATGTTTCCATCAATCAAATGAAATGATGAAAATGCATTTGAACAAGCCCAGACTTTTTAGGCATTATCTATCTATGTTTGTTACAAATGTGTTATTTTTATTAATTCTAAGCCAGTACGAATAGCATAACTAAACATTAATAACCTATAATAACACATATATTGTCCCATATGTAAATAATTTGGCTATAATACAGTAAATAAGCATTATGGATTCCAGACAAAATAAGCATATTAGTTAGTATTGGTGGCAAAGCCATTTGTGTGTTTTGAACTAAAATATTTCCACTAATGTATTTTAATGGCGTTTTATAAATATTATTAACAGCCAACCTCTTCTTGGCTATCAAGATTCTTAGGTTAACAAGAGGTTAAATGATTCCTTTGACATTCAGCCCTAACATAAGTCGCCCACACAGTACTTTGAAATCTAAAGAGCCTCTGTTTATTTTTCACGGCGGTTGCTGTTAACCTGATCACACCCAACCTAAAGGACAATATTATTGCGCCGTGACTTCACATGTTAGCCACCGGTGAGCCTGCTGGCATTTAGACAGGTGCACTCATCTCAGCAGTGCGAGGAGAAGAGAGGCTTCATCTTCACAAGGTGTAGCATATGAAGCCACTTGCCCTCTGCATTCTTGGCCTAAATGTTATTAGGAGAAGCGAGAGGTGCTGCAGAGCCTGGGTTCTTCTTTTCTTTGGAAATTCCCAGACGTAACCATGAGAGAAGAGGTTTGGTTTGGATCAGATTAGATGAAAATACCACCACAGATGGGAGGTCTCTCTTCAGGGAGAAGGTGCTTTATGTGTGTCTACATGTGTGTGTAAACATGGGAGAGACAGCCCAGAATCAAAGAGGGTTCATTGTTAATTTGGTGCTGAGTTTGTGACCTTTGGCCCCTGATTCACTGCTGAGGAATGCTCTTTGTGTTTCGGTCAGCAGCAGAAAGGAGAAGTCCACAGTTGCACTTTTGACTCAAAAATACAACCTTTTAGACCTTGAATGATCTTTTTTTTTTCTAACCTGTAATAGTAAATACCTCATGCATATTTTCATAAAACCATCCTAGTCCTGGTGCCCTTCCTGTACAGCCAGAGGCCTCAGTAGGTCTACTGCACAAAAGGAATTCCCCTTGTGGCTTAACAAGACAGTTCTTTAGCGGTGAGCGCGAGCGCACAGCAAGAGTGGAGGTGAGAAAGGCCAGACCACCCCTGCTTTTACGTCTGAGCCAGCACATTCACAAGCTCACCACTCACTCAGAGGATTAAAAAACCTGACATCATCTGCTGATTTGTCTGAAGAGAGGGGGAATCTGGTCAAAGCCAGGTTCAAGACTCCCGGTCATTCAACCTTTTCTCAAAAAATAAAGAAAAGCTTTGATGTTAATGTTGGTAGAACTATTATGGTCACAAATCAGCATGTCTTCCTGCTTATTTAAAGTGGGTTCAAATTCTGAGGTGGCTCCCAACTCACCTGCCTGAGAAGGTTAGTGGCTGTTTTTTTGTTATCAAGCATGCTTCCTGAAACCTTCAACCCACTAAACTGTGTTATCTCTGCAGTCCTGTTCCTGTGACATAGATCCAGACTCCCGCAGCAGCTTCAAAACAATAAAATTGTTTAAACGCTCTTGTTGTCTGGCTGAACTGTTGAATGCAAAAAACAGGTTCATGTCAGTATAATAATCTGGCGGAGTCTTGGCGTGGATGGAGCTCTAATATAAAGCATGCAGCTGCAGCAGGTGCAAGCGCAGATTGCAGTTGAGAAGTGGGCATGGCAGATGGCAGAGAGCGGAGATCATGACAAATTAATTTATTATTTATGAACTGCGGGGTGGACAGGGGTGTCCAAAGGGCCATATGTGGCCCTCGGGCCGGAAGATACCGAGGTCTGCTTTAGGAGGTCATTTATCTGTAGTCCATCTCTAAAGTTTTCAAATGGTTATACAGTAGTCCCTCTTTTATTTTAGGGGATCCATATCCTGAAGCCCCAAGATAAATGAAAAACCGTGAAGTAGGAATACTAAGGAGTACAAGTACTAAGTAGTAGTTTATCTTATATATATATATATATATATATATATATATATATATATATATATATATATATATATATATATATATATATATATATATATGTATATACGGTCGGTACCACATTTTTCGGACTATGAGTCACACTTAAATCCTTTAAATTTCTCAAAAGTTGACAGTGAGCCTTATAATTCGGTGTGCCTTATGTATTAAGTCTGGTTGTGCTTACTGACCTCAAATCGATTTTATGTGGTACAGTTCGCTCAAGAATCTGTCAAAATTAACTTGTTTCGCTTAATGTGCCTTATAATTTGATGCTCCTTATGTATGAAAAAAGACCTGTTCCTTGATATTGCGTCTTATAGTCCAAAAAATATGGTACTTGTTATAAAATGGTTAGTCTGCTCAGTAGAATCTCTGCTGGTATGAGGGTGCATTAGTGCCTCAGGCATGGGTATGTGCCTCTTTAGCGGTGTAAGCTACACCGCTAAAGAGGCACCATCAAAGGTTTTAGAATAACATATAGCTGTACTCTCATCTAGGTTATGTTTTTTTTGTTTGTTTTTTCAGAGAAGACCTTGCAGATTTCAGCAAGACAATGCTAAACCACATACTACGTCCAATACAACTTCATTGTAGGAGACACCAGGTGCTGAACTGGTCTGACTCTAGTCCACTCCTCTCACCAGAACATTTGGTGCAGGATGAAACTAAAAACGATGAAAAAGACCCATAACTGGTAAACAACTTGAATTCTGCATCAGCATCCCCCTCCAGACTGATCTCCTCAGTTCCTGCTGATTTACAAAGTGTTTGAAGAAAAACAGATATCTTGTAGTAGTGTTTTTATTTTTTAATTTATAAATTACATTATTTTCCCCACAAAAAATGTACAGTTTTTGGTTTAAACATATAATAAGTTATGTTCCACTATATTCTACTTTTATTTACATTTCACACAACAACCCATCTTTTCTGGAATTGGGTTTGCATTATTTTCTTTATTTAACCAGGAAGTCACTTGAGATTACTGCACCATCATTTTTTTTCCATGGGAGACCTGGTCAAGATGGCACATAATAACCTCCACCTGACTGTTGGAGACCTCCAGGCAGGAAGGAGACAGACAGTAAACTGTGGAAAAGTAAGATTTAGAATGTATAATGTCACTCCTTCCTCCCTGAAGACTCTAAGTCGAGCAGCTCCTTCAGGTCACAAGACTCTTGACATTTCCCTTCGAGGCACCAGTCATGAGACCTTACATAAAAGCATGATTTGCTGTCTTGTAAAATATATTTGATGCCTGTCTGAGAGTTTTATTCCCAGTCTTTAGTTTACAGGTTTGCATACAGTCAAAACTGTTGATATTTTATATTTGTTCCAGAGGGAACATTTTCTGTGTTGCAGCCAGACTTCTGTTCCTGCCATGTAAAGTCTGCACCACTGCCATAAAATCCCAGCAGTGTTAACTTTGTTCTCATGGGCCGATCAGTAAAAATGCTTCTATTTTTTATGTTCCGCTCTCAGAAAACCAATAACCAGCATCAAATTACTTCATGGGATCGACCTGTGTGGCTTCTGTTGTGTTTCTGCAGACAGACAGATAATCAGCCCTAAGCTCAGTCTGAGCTGGGAACAAAAGTTTTCAGCGCGTGTTTTCAAAGACAGACAAACAACCATTCAGTCTCTCACTCACACCTAGGGACAATTTAGAGTTACCAGTCAGACTAACATGCATGTTTTTGGTCTGTGGGAGGAAACCGTAGTACCAGGAGAAAACCCACGCATGCAGGGAGAGAACATGCAAACTCCACCCAGAAGGGTCCCCAGACTGGGACTCGAACCAGGGTAACCTGCTCACTGAGAGGCTGCAGCTCTACTAATTGCACCACCGTGTACTTATTGTTGTTGTTTTGTTTCCTCCTGTAGAAAGTACACCTGGACCTGCCATTCTGTATCTGTTTCTCCTTCCTGTTCTCTCGAACCCCAGCCGGTCGAAGCAGATGGTTCGGAAGACCGTCTTGTCAAAAGTTGAAGATCCTTTGGACCCACTTCAGTTTGCTCATCGTTCACATAGAGGAGTGGAAGACGCAACAGGAACTCTTTTAAATATAGTTTTAGGACACCTTAAAGGTATAAAAACCTTTGTAAGATTGCTTTTTATTGACTTTTCATCTGCTTTTAACTGTATTCAGCCCCACATTTTAGCAGAGAAATTACAATGTCTGTATCATCTTGACTCCGGCCTCATATGTTGGCTTGTGGACTTTTTAACTGTTCGGTCTCAGAGGGTGAAGGTTAATGGGGTCCTCTCTGATGCCCTTCTGTCCTCTACTGGTTCCCCTCAGGGCTGTGTTCTTTCACCTCTTTTATTTATTTTATACACAAACGATTGTCGCAGCCATTTCCCTCAGCGTCACATTGTAAAGTTTGCTGATGACTCTGTCATCCTGTCCCTTCTGAGCAGTGATGACCCAGACCCTGGGCCTGTGATTGGGGACTTCACGGAATGGTGCGAGTCTTCCTTTTTAAAGCTAAATGTTTCTAAGACAAAGGAGATGGTCATTGATATCAGAAAAAAAATCTTCAGTTGCAGCTCCCGTGGTCATTAACGGTGAAGCTGTGGAGCTGGTGCAACTATATAAATACCTAGGAACTGTTCTTGATGATAAACTGACCTTTGACCTCCATGTGAACTCACTTTGTAAAAAGGCCCACCAAAGGATGTATTTTTATCGGAAGCTTTGTGGTTTTAATGTTGATTCAACTTTTATGAGAATGTTTTATTCATGTTTTATTGAGTCTATTTTAACCTTTACCTTCATCTGTTGGTTTGGACTTTTGACATGTAAGAACAGGAGCAAACTCTCGGGGATTGTCAGGATGTGCAGCATAGACCTACGGAACCTCGCTGATCTACACAAGGTGAGATCAGTGAATAAGGCCAGGCAGATTCTGGCAGATCCTGATCACCCACTCCATGATGAGTTCAGGTTGCTTCCATCTGGACGCAGGTTTCTGCAGCCCAGATGTAGAACAAACAGATTGAAAAACTCTTTCATCCCTGTAGCAATCAGGTTTCTCAATGAACACTAATTTCAATACTGTTACTTTAATGTCTTAATGTCTTGTGTATATATATGTATGCGTATGTATATATGTGTATTTGTGCATGTGTGTGTATATGTACACATCTACTGACTGTAAAACTAATTGCCCCTCGGGGATAATAAAGAAACTTGAACTTGAACAGATGGACACTTGTCCTGAGCCTGGCTCTGCTGGAGGTTTCTTCCTGTTACGGGGGAGTTTTTCCTTTCCACTGTTGCCTTTGTGCTTGCTCAGGATGAGAAACTGTGATGAAATCAAGACTCAACACAATCTGCTGGCTGTCTTAGATAGACAGCAGATTGTAGATTAGTATTTGGAAAGGCTTAAACTGTTCTATGCCGGTTCAAAAACATGTTTATCTTTCTTTTACCAAACAAAATTCTTGCTTTATCTACATTTGTTTACAAAAGGAATGTCCTTAGTGTAATTTTTCTATACTTTATTGTTTGTCTGAGAAATATGCGTTGAATGTAGCTATTATATACAGTAAATTTTATTGAATGCCTATTGACAACACAATAAAACATCAAATGGTTAAAAAGTAATTAATACTCTAAGAAGAGTACTTTGTACTTTTCCTTAAGTATGTTTGTAACACCAGTACTTTTACTTGTAATTGAGTACAATTTAAGCAGTGTAACAGTTTGCACTTGAGTACAAATTTTCAGTACTATTTCCACCTCTGATTAAAATAGCTAAAAGACAAAAGTAGCTAAATATAGCTGGAGTACACAGTATACTGATTTTTTTTTTTTTATTAAACAAAGTTAAATTTAAAAGTTACAAAAACAAAACTGATCGCTGGCATGTCTTGAATGAGATATTTTTTCCACATTTAAGTAATGAAAAAAAAAAAAAAGGATGGACCCTGATCAACGACCGTGTGGAACTCCCGGGTGTCTGAATGAGTTTCGGTTCAGGGTCTCTGTTTGGATGCTGCAGGCTGGGAGGAGGAGGAGGAGTGGGGGGAGGAGGTGATGATGAAGAAGAAGTGGGAAGCGCTGTAGTTCCGTCTCAGCTCAGTCGGTCAGTGTGCAGCTGGAGGCGAGAGGTTCGGCTCTCACAGAAACTTCTTCCTTCTTTTACCGAATCTTTTGGGGAACCGTTTTTATTTTATGAGAGGAGTCCAAGTGTCCGGATGGAGAAGCACAAAGGTAGGTGGAGGTTTTCCCAGCTGACTCTGTAGAAACTCGCTGTCGAAGAGTTGCGCGAGAGGAACAACTTTTGTACTTTGCAGCAGCAGCGCATAAAACTCTTCAGCTGATGTTTAGCTCACCTGCTCCACTAAAGCGGCTGAAAGTTCAGCTCAGCAGCTGCGCACTAAACACCACCCACTTATATTGTGACCAGCAATAAAATCCCAAAGCTGCAACTATGTTGACACGACATTCTCTAAATTCTTGTGGTTATTTATTACGAGGGACGAGGCTATTAAAGTGATAGTTCCGCTCTTTTGAATTGGAGTTCTGCGAACAAATATCTTACCTGTTGCAGATGACTCTTATCTGCATCATTTCTAAATAAATAATAGACCGGACTGACAAGATATAAAAATCAAAGAGGTGCTACAGCTAGCTGCTAATGCCACTATTAGCTCCTGTGAATGCCTTTAAATCATATTAAAACAGCTGCGTAATGCTAAACTGACAGCAAATAAAGTTTTTCTTAATAGTGTTTGCATGAACCACTTGAAACATTTCCAAGGCTGGAGTGGTTTGAAGACCACTTTGATTTTGGCTCTGCTCAGACTAGCCATGAGCTCATCAGTTCAGTCAAGTAAGACACTTCAAAAGATCTAATCCGAAACGGACTGCAGATAAACAAAGACGTCTAACGGGACGCCTGTCCAGTGGGACAGCAGGAGAAACTTGCTGGACTGAGAACAATGGCAACCAGTCCAAGTGCTGGGAGCGGAATGGAGACAGTTTGAAAGGAAACAGTCTCTGCCACATTCCTGTCCACCAGCTGACCACACAGCCCAACCTGTTTGCTCCCACTCTCTCCCAGAGTAAATAGTTCGTATTGTGAGTAGATGCAGATAGGATGTTTCCTGTGAGGGGTTTTGTGTTGGCCGTTCACCTACTGATCACATGTGCAGCTGAAACATTCAAACCAACCCATTTCAAAATGGCAGCCGAAGCCAAGTGATAATAATAAACTTAAAAAGCGGCTCAATTTTACAGATGCAGAGCTAAAATCTGGTGTGGTAGCAGCTGAGTCTCATCCAGCGGATCACAATAACTATTAATGTGAATTCTCTGTCTGTTAGCAAAATATCTCACGAACTACCAAATGGATTTTAATTAGATTCTCAGGAAATTATCACTAGATGTGCCTCTACAAATATTTGTTGTTTGAAGTCAATCCAATGTAATATGGTCACCACCGCTAATCAACATTAGCAGACACAAAATTGTCTGTAACTCAGTCCATTTCACAGATATTGAGCTAAAACTTGATGATGCTAAGAGTCAGTCCTGTTTCTGAGCATAAATGTCATCATACTACATAAAGCTCTTTAAAATATAAGTTCCTTTCAATGTTTGAAACAACTTCAACTCCATCTTTTCTTATCATAAGAGGATTTTAGTCCAAAACTCGGACATGAAAGGTCAAAGAATGCTAGACTCCTAATAAGTCAAGCAAAGGTTATTAAATTTTTTAAATCACAAACATTATTGTGCTTTTTTCCACTTATTTTTATTAATGTTTTTAAAAGCTGAACGTCTCGGATGTTTTTTTGTTTATTTTGTTTTGTTAAACCGATAAAAATGTATTTACGCTTGTTAAATATGGATAAAAGTGTCTAGTCTAGGGAATTTTTGTGATTTATTTTTATTTAACCTTTATTTATACAGGTAGTCTCATTTTCAAGAGAAACCTGTTTAGGTGGGGGTTAAGGGCCCAGAGTGGGGCAAAGGGCAGAGGGTGGAGGCGGGTGTTGGTGTTTCACATTTCCTACTCACATTTTGATATTGTCAGTCCAGGGAGTTGAATCATCGACGATCACAGGCCCACCTTCCCTAACCTCTGCACCACCACTCTTCCTGTGATGTAAAAAAAAATGAAGAGATGAACTGGTGATGAAACTGCTTCATTAAAAGATGAAGTGATCAGAGATAAGTGATGGTTTGTTGACGTCAACAGGTCGGACAAGTTTTAAAGAGTGGATTTTGACATTTTCATTTTGCAGTAAAAAGGCCCGATTGAGCAGGAGAAACGAGAATTTAATTAGATTATTCAGGACATGAAAGCCACACCTGGCAGTCACCGGGTGCAGAAAAATGCTGCGGTGTTCAGGATGACATAAAGAAACTGAATTTAGTCTCATGGCAGCTGGACATTAAATTAGATACTAACATGAAGATGATGCAGTAAAGAGGATGCTGGGAAAAGTCATTTAAGTCAGCTCCGATTTGTTTTATGTGTGTCGTGTTTTTGGAACCTGACTTGTTCAGGTTTTTGCCCGGAGGAGCATCCCAGCTGCTCACGACTCTGATTCTCACACCTTGTGCCAGGGAGCGGGATCAGATTAGTGAAACCACCTGGAGTTTTGTTTGGTCTGACTGACCTTTTCGCTATCACCGCTCATGTTTGAGAATCTCTGTTACAAAACAGCATGTGTGCACCCACGGGATAGTCTTTACAAGTTCTCATTCATCCTTTATTTAGACAGGTAAATCCCATTGAGCCTCAAGGACTCATTTACAAGAGAGACCTGATTTCAACAAAGAATGATGACAACAATGGACAACAGCAACAACAATAAACAGTTATAAAAAGTCATACTACAGTTTAATTTTTTAATTTTTTTTAATAACAATTAGGATGGCTAAAAGAAAAAGGTAACAAAAAAAACCCCAGCTAGATTCTAAGGTGAATGTAGAAAACTAAAAACAGGAAAAAAAACAGGTCCCTGCCAGGAGTCCAACAGATTCTTAAAGCCACTTAGAGAGGTCAAGGTTGAGAGCTTCAGTTGTTTTTGTAAGATATTCCAGGAAACAGGAGCGGAGTAGGAGAAGGCCCTTTTGCCTAGTTCAGTCCTCACTGAGGGAACACTGCAGGTAATAATGTCCTGAGAGCGCACGCCGTAGCTGCACTCACGCAGAGACATGTAGGAGGAGATGTATGAAGGCAGCAGACCAAGAAGTGATTTAAAGATGAAAATGTACCAGTGGGAGAGTCTGCGTGAAGTTAATGATGTCCAGTTAACCAGTGAATACAGGGTGCAGTGGTGGGTATGATAGTTACAGCCAATTATGAATCTTAGTGCACCATGATAGACAGCATCCAACATCTGCAGGGTTCTTGTAGGAGCAATAAAAGAGACAATAAAACTCCTTTTAAACAAGCTGGCTTTGTGTTCCCTTCATTAAGTCATAAACACATTCAGATTCTTAGTTGGCTTCAATAAGTGGGTTATAAAGAATCTTATCTTTGATTGTAAACAGTTTCCGACAGCAGCATTGCCTGAACTCACTGATGTGATTAAAATAAGTGACCAGCTACTGATCTGCATGAGCACTGCAGTGATTTGACCTGACTGTAGAAAATGACAATGAACACAAGCTGGTTCAGTTTATGTAATAGTTACTTATTTTATGGTTGTATCTTACTGGGCTGCAGCTGCCGGACACTCAAAAATGCAAGAAGTGAGTGAAACTTTCACTTTTGGTTTCACTGAGCTGTTGAAATACAACTTGAGCGCTCTTAGACGAGCTGGAGACGTCTGCAACGAAACTGAGAAGGGTTTGAGACGCTGCGATAACTCTGTGTACGGCTCTGCGATTTGTTTTATTTTTATTTCCCAAATTTCTTCATTTTTTTTGGTGTAATTCCATGTTTTACACAGGGCAGCACAGTGGTAGAGCTGCTGCCTCTCAGTGAACAGGTTACACTGGTTCGAATCCTGGTCAGGGGGGCCTTGGGTGGAGTTTGCATGCAGGCACTCTGTAGAGATGCACTGATCTGATATTAGTATCGATATCAGGACCCATATCAGGAAATTTTTTTGGATCGGGTATCAGTGACAATGTGATGATCCACTGGGGCAGGAGCTGATTGCAGTTTATTTTAAATATCTGCTAGTGAAGCTGTTGTTTTTCCTCTTATTTCAGCTCCTTTATTATTTATTTTACATTATATTTATAATTCCTGAACCATTGGAAAGGTTTGTTGAAGTTTATTTTTTCATGTTTGATCAAAGTTGTCAACCTATTGTTTTTGTCAGTTTCAGTGTCTTTATAATTATTTATTTTACATAACTGACTGAACAAATGAAAGTTGTGTTGTTTTTACATGTTTGACCAAGCTTGTGAAGCAACTGGTGTGTTTAAGTGTGCTGTACTGGTGCAGAGTTTTCAATACATTTGTAATCTTGTACATTTATATTTGCATTTAAAAAACAAATGTTTGAATTTAATTTTGCACAGTTTTTCTGTATCAGATCTATATCAACCGATATTAAACCTCAGATATTGGTATTGGAAGTGAAAAAAGTGGATTGGTGCATCCCTAGTACTCTGGTTTCCTCCCACTGACCAAAAACATGCATGTTAGGCTCATTGGTAACTAAATTGTCCCTACGTGTGAGTGAGAGAGTGAATGGTTGTTTGTCTCTATGTGTCTCTTTGATGGACTTGCGACCTGTCTGGGTTGTACCCCGCCCCTCGCACAGTGATGGCTGGACATGGGCATAAGTGACCCCTGCATCCCAAAAAAGGAAGAAGCAGGTAAAAGATAATGGATGGATGGATTCTCGTGCACATGGGAAACCCATTTCTCAAAACCTTGGTTCTTGAGGGTAGTCATCGTCCGTTGTCTGTTGCTGCTAACAGGACCACGCTGCTAGCAGTATCATGCTGCTGATGGGACCGTGCTGCTAACAGGACCACGTTGATTATGGAGTCACACTGCTGGCAGTACTACGCTGCTAACAGAACCACATTGCTAACAGGACCACACTGCTAACACTATCATGCCGCTAACAGAATCATATTGCTAACAGGATCGCACAGAACCACACTGATAACTGTACCGTGCTGCTAACAGGACCACACTGCTTACAGTACCATGTTGCTAATCAGAATCAGAATAAACCTTATTATCATTGCACCGAGATACAACGAGGATATGTCCATACAGTCATCCGAAA